ATGATGCTATTCTTGGTAATGGTTGATTACATACATTTCATGTTGGTGAATTTTTTTAAGGCTGTTAAATATAATTATTTATTTGAGTGTACCTAATCCATGGTCAGTCACTCTTACATAACCCTTGTGTCATCATCCAACCCTAAAGGAACATTGGTCTATAAACTAGGAAGTGGTCACATAGTATATTGTCGCCTGGTCACACAAAGGAGTGTGAAACTCACCTACTCCTTTAACTAGGAAATCCTAATTCACCATTTCTTTTGTTATATTATCCATTGATTGTCATCGGTTGCCTTACATCCTTTGTTTTTTGTTCTATTTTCCTTGAAACGTAGAGCATCGCCATTGGGAATCCCAGATTGAAGCATGGCAAAGACCAGTTCTTGAGGACAAGAGACTTCCAGAATGGTGAGTTTTAGATGTCTAATCTGGTTTGAGCATATGTCCGATAAGATTCCTAAGATTTGTCAAAGTTCTCTGCAGGTACCCTGTCACTCTGTTCAATGAGCTATACTTTCTAAATTCTGGGGGCACAGTTTGGACAGGTATTTGTTAAGTTTGAGATTTTTCGCAGTGAAATTTGACAGTTATAGTGAAACATTAGCTCATTTTTTTTCATATAAATCGTTTTGCAGATGGATCACCTGCAGTCCATAGCTTAAGAAGTATTATAGAAAGGAAGTTTTCCCTTGATAAGTCCTCATTAGGTTTGAAAAGCATCATTGATGCACCCGAACAAAATGATACTGCTATCGACATTCTTGGAAGGATGACATCAACACTTGAGCAAGTTCACATGCCCATTGCAGCAAACTCTGCATTTGGAACAAATCTCCTTCAGGAGGGAGAAGAAAACATTGGTCAATTCCTTTATCTTGAAGGAATTGAATATCAGATGTGGAATACTTACGATGTCCATTTCTACTCATCTTTTGCACTAGTCATGCTATTTCCAAAACTTCAACTCAGCATCCAACGAGACTTTGCAGCAGCAGTAATGATGCATGACCCCAGTAAAATGAGACTTCTCTGTGATGGAACATGGGTCCAAAGAAAGGTTCTTGGAGCTGTTCCTCATGATATCGGCCTCCATGACCCCTGGTTTGAAGTAAATGCTTATAACCTGTATAACACAGATAGGTGGAAAGACTTGAATCCTAAGTTTGTTCTCCAAGTTTACAGGGATGTGGTTGCCACGGGTGATAAGAAGTTTGCAGAAGCCGTTTGGCCCGCTGTTTATGTTGCAATGGCTTATATGGAACAATTTGATAAAGATGGAGATGGAATGATTGAGAATGATGGCTTCCCAGATCAGACTTATGATACGTGGTCAGTCTATGGTGTGAGTGCATATAGTGGTGGGCTGTGGGTAGCAGCATTGCAGGCTGCATCAGCCATGGCACGAGAAGTAGGTGACAAGGGTTCAGAAGTTTATTTTTGGCAAAAGTTTCAGAAGGCAAAAGCCGTGTATGCGAAATTATGGAATGGATCTTACTTTAATTATGACAACAGTGGTCAAGCTTCTAGTTCATCAATTCAAGCTGATCAACTGGCCGGACAATGGTATGTTGTGACTCAACTAACATTTTAGATATTTTGAATGTCATCTATTCATGCCAATTAAAAGATTCCTTTCACAAAACCATCACACACGGTGAAGTTATTCTCTTTAGTAATGACCTATTCAGTACTTTGGGGAAATCATGTGGTTATTTGTTCTTTAGTAATGCATGGCGATGAATTAAAACTTACTGTCTAGCTACTTTGTAGGTATGCCAGAGCATGCGGTCTTTTGCCAATTGTTGACGAAGACAAGGCACGAACTGCACTGGAAAAGGTTTATAATTACAATGTCCTAAAGTTTAAGGATGGAAGACGAGGGGCTGTTAACGGGATGCTACCTAATGGAAAGGTTGACATGTCAACATTGCAGTCAAGAGAAATATGGTCCGGAGTTACATACGCTGTAGCTGCAACAATGATTCAGGAAGATGCAATTGATATGGGATTTCATACTGCGGAGGGAATTTATGAAGCTGGATGGTCCAAAGAAGGACTTGGGTGAGTTAACTTACGATCAGTAATCCGAAAGCTCAAGATTGGTAGAAGTCGGACATCAAATAACCATAGGGTGGTTCTTGTGTAACCTCCAAATTTGCTCATATTAACCCCTCCCTTGTGCATATTTCGTTAACCAGATTTATCCCTGAAAGAAATAGTATAAAAGAAAAAACCTCTCATCACCACAACCACAAGTATCATCTCTGTCTCCAAGTTCAGTTGAACTTTTAACCGATAGGAACAGCTTCAGCCTGGTATCCATATTTTTTAGTTTTACCGTCACATAGTTTCAGATTGAGTTTCTGAGAGCATCATATCTGTTTAAAGAGTATGTCGGGTGTCAGCTTAAACAAATGCCAATACATGACTTCTCTTCCAAGTTTCTGAAATGCGACCATACTGGAGATTGTCAACAATCTCATTGAAGGGAGTCAAGGGATATATGATCCATTAAATGTTGGCTCACTTATTGTCAATTTCTTGCTAACTCAACGTATTGATGTACATGTTATCTGCTCTCTGTTTCTCGCTTCCTAACTCCTTTATCATTTTATATCGACAGATACTCTTTTCAGACTCCTGAAGCTTGGACCACCAGCGGCGAATACAGATCTTTAGCTTACATGCGCCCTCTGGCGATTTGGTCAATGCAGTGGGCTTTAACAAAACCACCGCTGTTCAAGCAGGAGACGGAATTAGAAGTGGATGAAGTTATTTTGCTTAGGCACAAGGCTGGATTCTCGAAAGTGGCTCAGCTTCTAAAGTTGCCACCAGACGAATCGTCAAGAAGTATTTTGCAGACTGTTTTCGATTATACCTGCAAGAGGATGTGGCTGTGAGTGATATTTCTGCCCTCGTATAGCATCTTGAATCGTGATTCTTGTAATAAATCGATGCTTATACCACATATTGGTGCTGTACATTCAATAAGGAGAAAACCAATTTGATTAGAAGGTATTTGTGTATATTACCACTCTATAAATCTCCTAAGTTGTATAAAAAGATCTGCAACTTCTTTGTGCTCTTCAATTTTCCTTATAAATTTTGGATCCAACTTTTAATAGTGGTTTGTTTTTATCTATATCTATATTATTAAGGCAGAAGGCATTATGGTTCAATGTTTTAAAGGGCGCCCCTTAGGGGCACCTAGGCGGCCTCTGATGCTGGACGTGAGGGTCGCCGCCTCTGTTTTGAGGGAGTGGGCGGAAGGCTTTGTCGGAGCCGCGCCTCAGGATGTCCAGGCATCTCTGTTTGGCTGCTTTTTTTTTTTTTTTAAATTTTATTTTTTAACTCCCAAACCCAAATTTTGGGTAGGTTTTAACTGTCTCATACCTCTTCCTTGCACTATCGTCTCTCAGCCTTTTTTTTTTCTGATTTTTATTTATTTTTTATAATGAATGTGTGTACTGTCTACATGCATTATTATGTATGTATTTATAATATATGTGTGTGCTCAAGGTGATTATTGATTAATAATCTTTTTTTAATATAATATATGTGTATGCTTAGTGTATATATTAAAAAATTTAGGTCCCGTGAGGCTTCCCCTCACACCTCACGCCTAGGCCAGACCATCCCTCCTCGCCCACGCCTCGGCCTTTTAATTCATTGTTATGGTTAAACATTCAAATAATCTCAAATTGGCCTCTGTTAATACAACCAGAAGAAAAAAAATCGAATATAAAAAAGTGTTCGAAATCAACGGAAAAACTTGACCATGAAACATCAAATTGTATATTTTAAATATTATTTTCTCTATTTTTAAACATGTTCAAAACATCTTAAGAGGCGTGTAATGCCAATTATAAAAAAATATATTTCGCATGCGAATAATAATGTGATTAAATTAATTATCAAATTATTGTTTTTTTGTTTAAACAAACGATATTATCTACACTAAGGGGATGATGGGTGAGTTTAGCCTCACAATGGGCTAGCAATAATATGATTCAATAAATTTTTTATTAAATATTATTTTCTCTATTATTACTGTAAATTCTATAGAGACCGATTTTATTATGTGAATTCAGCTGCTTTAATTGGTTTATGAGGGATTTCGTCTAGCATGATCTAAAATTATTCATTTACTTCAAATATTTGACTTTTCTTTTGTCAATTTACGCATATAAACACATTTAAAAAGTGTAAGTCGCACGTAGTACACCGTGATTCAAAAAATGCTTTCTGCACACGCGTGAGCGCTTTCATGAAGGCTAGTCTATATTATTAAGGCAGAAGGCGTTATGGTTAAACATTGAAATAATCTCAAATTGCCCTCTGTTAATACAACCAGAAAAAAACAATCGAATGTAAAAAATTGTTCCAAATCAACGGAAAAACTTGACCATGAAACATCAATTGTATAATTTAATGACCACAAAACAGCAAAGAGTTGCATTTTTTTTTTCTTATGTAACTAATTGATCTGTATACCCGTACACAAATACATGGAACAAAACAATAATCTGTGAGTTGGGAGCGACGCACGTGATAAAAAGGAGAGACTAGTTTCTAGGAACGACGTTTTAAACTACCATAATCCATTAATTCGTAGGGACGAAATTTCAACTTGGGTGAAATGAACGGCAAGAAATTTAGTGTCTCAATAACCGCTCTTTTTTATGTCCGAAGAAAATGAATTAAGTTGTAGTTACCGCCACGTGGCAGGTACCCATTACGTCTGGCCAATAGGACTCGAGGGAGTTCCACAAGGCTAGGATGGCCAACAGTTTTTTTTAGGGAACTTTAACGAAAAGCATCCGGTACTGTTTACTTTAACGAAAAGTCACATTTTTACACTAAAAAGTCAATCTTGGTACTATTCACTTTACTCTTTATTTTGTCCTTATCATTAAAACTCAAAGTTTTCAAGCCCTTTTCATTAGTTTTCCTGTTTTTTTTTTTACTTCCCATCAGACTTCATAAAAATTCTAAATCCCACATCAAATTGTATCTTAAACAAAAAAAGAGGAGAATATCAAACTTGTCTGCTTAGTAAAAACTTCAAGAGAAATCTCTTGCTGCTAGAGCGGTTTTCCATCGAGAGGGAAATTGCTCTACCATCATTACAGTTTTTTTCTTGAACTTTCTTTAATTGTTTTGAAAAATCTGACTACCATCAAAGTACGAATTAATTCCTTGTTTTGTTTACGTTTCCGATTTCCATTCAATCTGGAACTGTAGCCATGTTTTTTTCCATCATCCTGTTTTCTTTTGTCCTTCTTCGAATCCCCTATAAACCCAGCGGTTTTCGATATTCTACCATTCATGGTGTTTTTCTCTGCATGTTTCTAGAGGCACCAGAAGCATCATTTTTTAGTTGAGTTTTCTTGTCCGGTTTAAAATATCAAAAAGGACATGGCGGCGAATCGCAATCAGTGCACATCTCCTCTACCAGGTGAGTGGATGAAGGGCAAACTGGTTGGGTCTGGTTCTTATGGCAGTGTTCATTTGGCCATGAACAAAACCACAGGAGCGCTTTTTGTTGTGAAATCTGCGCAGTCAAGGGATGGAGTTGATGCTCTCGAGAAAGAGGTTAAGATTCTCGAGAGTCTGAATTCCCCATACGTTGTTAAATGTATGGGGAGGGAAAATGGTGAAGGGAAATGCATCAATGTGTTCATGGAGTATATGGCAGGGGGTAGTTTGTCAGATGTGTCACAGATATTTGGCGGCGCATTGGAGGAAGAGGTGGTTCGGTTGTACACCAGAGAAATTGTTCACGGCCTCAAGTATCTTCATGAAAGTGGGATTGTCCATTGTGACCTCAAGGGCAAGAACGTGCTCTTGGGATCCTCCGGGAATGTCAAGTTGGCGGATTTTGGTTTTGCGAAAAGGCTAAAGGACTCAAAGGTTGACGGGGCTTCGGTGCAGCATTCTTTGCAATGTATTGGCGGAACTCCATTGTGGATGGCTCCTGAAGTTTTGAGAAACGAAGAGCTAGATTTTGCTTCGGATATCTGGTCCTTGGGATGCACGGTGATTGAAATGGCTACCGGGAGGCCTCCTTGGGGGAATGAGATTTGGAATCCAGTTGCTGCTGTTTTGAAGATTGCATGTGGCAACGAGAAGCCTCATTTCCCGCAAAAGCTCTCGGATGAAGGATTGGATTTCTTATCAAGGTGCTTGGAGAGAGACCCCAAAAGGAGGTGGTCTGCTAAGGAGTTGCTCAACCATCCATTTGTGTCCGGAAACTCAATGCGAGTTTCAAGAAAGGGCGCAGCCTACTCACTGGCAAGCACATTAGACATTAGTCTTTATGAAGAGGCTTCTGACTGTTCAGATGAGGGATTGAAGATCCATGATCGCGATGAGTTCCTCAGCAGCTCGAGTAGACATCCTTTTTCAAGAAGGCAGCATGTATCTGAGAATCACTTGGAGTCGTCAGGAAATTGGATTACTGTTAGGTAAATGATTACGAGATCACATTACCGCAGCAGAAGAATAAAAACACAGTTTGTACATGATCAGAAATTTGTGAAAAGATGTAGAGACAGCTAGCCAGTAGAGAGAAAAAAAAACAGGTTTGTCTGTTTTTCCAAGTAGTTATTTTTGTGGAGGTATATCCTCTCTTTGTTCGTACACTCATAGATTTGCAAGCAAAATATTCAGTTTAATTTCAATCACTCTTCATATAACTTTCTCTCAGCCATTTTCTAATCAGTTTGATTCCACAAAATGAGAGATGTAGAAACTAGAATCACAAACAAACGCGATGTATATGAATTTTGTTCCATTCCAACATTAACATTCCTCTACAGCGTTTAAAAGTTTTCATGAAAAACGCATATCCAATGCTCGTTTAGAGTTTAAGGTTTAAGGTTGTTTAATTACTAAAGCGTTTGTACATAACATAGTTGAAAACAGTTAAAAGAACCGGTATAAGTATAAAGAAACTATTGCCAAACCCTAACTGTTATTGAACTCGGTATTAACAGTTGATACTTGAATTCTCTGCAACTATATCCACCAAATAGTTGCAAACGAAACATTAGTTTACGAACTTGAACACAAGAAACAAGCACAGATCGATCGAGTTCAAATAAGAAGAGGTACTAATATAAAGATTTATATAAATCCTTCCCCCACAAATAGACGACCAATTCACCATAATGATAGGCACAGGAGTTCATTTGCAAGGAAGCAATGCTTAAGCATTCAACATGCTGGAGTTTTTCTTGCACTCGTACAGCTTATCATTATCCATGTACCACTGACACTTGCTGATATCACTTAAAAATTCGTTGATGCACTGCACAAAGGTAGTCATATAGTTATTTGCCCAAAAAACCCAAAGGTCATCATATAATTAGTTTGTAGTTTTCGAAAAAAGTGAAAACTGCAAACGGTCCTTGACACAATAAATCTCGAGGAAAATAATGAAGGGAAAAGGACGTAGCGAGCATTGCATACATCTTGGAATGCCTTGGAGTGATACTGCAGGCATCTGAACCACTGATACTGCTTGTGTTAGCCATGGTTTGTAGTGTGTAGCAGCAGGAGCTGAAGGAGCAGAAATAGAAAGAACAGCAGGAGCAGCAGAAGCAGCAGCGCAGCTTCATGTTGGATAGTGACGCGACGAGTGTTGGTGTATAATCCTTTAGCTGAAGCTTGGCAGCAAGAATCAGGTTTCTATGTTTTGTTTCAGTTTGAATGTGAGCCATTGGATCATAGTCCACATGGCATTTTAATCTTGTATCTAGTCTAAGTAATAGAATAAGCCAAGTGGCATCATCTCATAGGGTGATAGCAATGAATGGCTAAGATTGTATTATATGTTGAAGAGTGAAGGATCTCCCTTCCTTTCTTCATATAACGGTTAGATTGTATTATGTGAAATCTTAATGAAATTCGAAGAGACATTTTGCAGCTTCTTCTCTCTGAAACTCTCTCCATCTTTGAAGACAACCTCCATTGAAACACATATTGAAAACACACACACAAACACTAACATGGCCTCAGAGCCTGGTTTCATCGTCTAATCTGGGCGTGAAATCTGTGCGATTGAGCTACATCTTTGAGCTTCAATCGAATCTGGAAATTGTGATTTCGTGTATCCAAGTCTCATATGGCTGGGTCCGGCAATGTCGAGCTTAGAGCTCCCGTCTTCAATGGAGAGAACTATGAATTTTGGAGGATTCGTATGACAACTATACTGAAATCGTATGGTTTGTGGGAGTTGGTAGAAAATGGGTTTGAACCACCAGATCCGAAGTCTGAGAAAGCTGTGGTCGATGAGACGAAGAAGGAGACGACGGATGGAGTGTCGTTCAGTGAGATCCTGATGAAGGATGCTCGTGCGCTTGGAATGATACAAGGTGCAGTATCGGATCAGATTTTTCCCAGAATCGTGAATGAAGAGACATCCAAAGGAGCTTGGGATGTTCTAAAGGGTGAATTCCGAGGAGATAAACAAGTAAGAAATGTAAAACTGCAAGGTTTACGTAGAGATTTTGAATATACTCGTATGAAGGATAGTGAATCATTATCTGTGTATCTCTCTAGATTGTTTGATATCATTAATCAAATGAAAAGTTATGGAGAAGAGCTATCTAGGGAGAGAATTGTGCAGAAATTACTTATTAGTCTTCCGAAAACATATGATGCAATTTGTTCTGTAATTGAGCATTCTAGAGATCTTGAAATTATTGAGGTGCAGGAGGTTGTAGCTTCTCTAAAAGGATTCGAACATAGGCTTGATTTACATACTGAGTCTTCGACTGAGAGGGCATTTGCAAGTCTTAATGTAGCATCTAAGGGTGTCAAAAGTGGTGGATTTTCTGGGAATCAAAGGTCTCAAGAGAGTTGGAAATCAAGGGGGAAAAATTGGGATTATAAACCAAACCATGTTCAGAAGCAGAGTAATACTAAAAGGAATTGGGATCACAAACCCAATTATCCTCAGAGACAGAACAATACTCAAAGGAATTGGGATCATAGGCCTAATTATGTCCAGAAGCAAAACAATGCTCAGGGTGATTGTAAGTGGTGTGACAGGTTGCACTATGGGAAGTGTTGGTATGAAGGTAAACCAAAGTGCACAGGCTGTGGTAAGCCAGGTCATTCTATGAGAGACTGTCATGAGAATAAATGAGTGCAGAAGGTTAATTATGTGAAGCAAATGGGAGAAATAGGATCACTGTTTTATGCCTGCAATGCAGTGACCGATGTGCAAGTCAATAACTCATGGTACATTGATAGTGGTTGTAGTAACCACATGACAGGAGATGAGAGATTATTGGTCAATGTTCAGAGAGATTTGACCTCCAAAGTAAAGATGGGAACTGGAGAAATTTGTCAAGTGGCAGGAAAGGGAACCTTGGTGATTGAAACTAAATTGGGAAGAAAACATATACAAGAAGTAATGCTTGTTCTTGGACTTGAGGAAAACCTTCTAAGTGTAGGACAAATGATGGAAAACGGTTATTATTTGTTGTTTGGAGGTGATGTAGTGAATATTTTTTATGGATGGTCACTGGACAATTTAGTAGTGAGGGTACATATGACCAACAATCGATGTTTTCCTTTGACAATGTTGCCTGCAACACAGTATGCATTAAGGGCAGGTATCACACATTGTTCTCAGATATGGCATAAGAGGTTGGGTCATTTGAATGAGAGAAGTCTCAAGGTACTTGAGGAACAGGGGTTGGTGCATGGATTACCTAAACTAGAAATGTCCCAAAGTGTGTGTGAAGGTTGCATGTTGGGTAAACAACACAGAGACTCATTCCCTTCTCAATCGACTTGGAGAGCTAAAGATCCACTGGAGTTGATCCATACTGATATCTGTGGTCCAATGCAAGTAGAGTCTCATTCTGGAAACAAGTATTTTCTGTTGTTTACAGATGACTGCACAAGGATGTCATGGGTGTATTTTTTGAGAAACAAGTCTGAAGCGTTTGAATGTTTCAAAAAGTTCAAGGCAATGACTGAGTTACAATGTGGATATAAGGTTAAATGTCTCAGGAGTGATCGAGGAGGAGAATTCCTTTCTGCAGAGTTTGACAAATACTGTAATGGACAAGGAATTCAGAGACAATTGACTATGGCCTACACTCCTCAACAAAATGGAGTGTCCGAAAGAAAGAATATGACTGTGGTGGAGATGGCAAAGTCAATGCTACATGAAAAAAACCTTCCATATGCATTTTGGGCAGAAGCAGTGAATACTGCAGTCTATTTGATCAATAGGTGTCCTACCAAAGCTTTGAAGAAGTCAACCCCATTTGAAGCTTACAGTGGCAGAAAACCTGGAATAGCTCATTTGAAGATATTTGGCTCACTGTGTTATGTGCATATCCCTTCCAATCTCAGACATAAATTGGAAGAAAACAGTCACAAGTGTATCTTTGTAGGCTATGGTTCAAGTGAGAAGGGTTACAGATTGTTTGATCCCATTTCAAGGAAGATTGTTCTCTCAAGGGATGTCACATTTGATGAGAATAAATCTTGGGATTGGAACTGCAATATAGATACTGGAGTGACATTTCCAGTTATCACTGAACATAAGAATGCTAATGAAATCTGTAAGGTTGATGAAAATTCTCAGTTTGAAGAATACAATGTTTCTCAAAGTGAGAATGTGCTTGAGAGATCTCCAACTTATGATGATACACAGAAGAAATGGAGAAGTATCAATGACATCATGGCTCAATGCAACATGTGTGTTATTGAACCAGAAAGTTATGAGGATGCAGCTAAAGATGATTCATGGAGGAGTGCAATGAAAACTGAATTGGACATGATTGAGAAGAACAACACATGGCAGCTTGTTGAGAGACCATATGACAAGCCTGTTATTGGTGTTAAATGGGTCTATAAGACCAAACTTAATCTGGATGGCACGGTGCAGAAGAATAAAGCTCGGCTGGTGGCTAAAGGCTATTCACAAAAGCCCGGAATCGACTATAATGAAACTTTTGCCCCTGTGGCAAGGTTGGATACGATTAGAACTTTAATTGCCCTTGCTGCACAGAAGAAATGGAACTTGTATCAATTAGATGTAAAGTCTGCATTTCTCAATGGGGTACTGAAAGAAGAAGTGTATGTTGAGCAACCTCAAGGCTTTGTGAAGGAAAATGAAGAAACAAAGGTGTACAAGTTGAACAAGGCTCTATACGGCTTGAAACAAGCACCAAGAGCCTGGTATGAAGAGATTAATGCATACTTCAATAGCGCAGGGTTTGAGAAAAGTTCAAGTGAGGCAACTTTGTATGTCAAGACAAGTAAGGACTCAGGTATCATTATTGTCTCTCTATACGTAGATGACATTGTATATACTGGTAGTAGTCCACAAATGCTTGAGGAATTTAGAAATGACATGATGAAACACTATGAGATGACTGACTTGGGCTTATTACATCATTTCCTTGGAATGGGTGTGCTACAAACTGAGAACAGCATTTTTATACACCAAAAGAAATATGCACAGAAACTAATTGAGAAGTTTGGTCTGAAAGAATGCAAGTCAGTTGCTACTCCACTTGCAATGAATGAAAGGTTGAGCAAAGTTGATGGAAGTGAACCTGCGGATGAAGGAGAATATAGGCAGCTTGTTGGAATTCTGCTCTATTTAATTGCAACTAGACCTGATGTGATGTTTGCAGCAAGTATGTTGGCAAGGTTCATGCATAATCCCACTAAGAAACATATGGGAACAGCTAAGAGGGTACTGAGATACATCCAGGGAACAATCGATTTTGGTATTGTCTTTGAAAGGGGAAAAGCTATTACCCTAATCGACTACTGTGATAGTGATTGGGCTGGAAGTGAGGATGATATGAGAAGTACTTCAGGGTATGCATTCACACTAGGATCTGGTATGTTCTCATGGGCTTCAATCAAACAAAACACTGTGGCACTGTCTACTGCAGAAGCATAATATGTTAGTGCAGCAGAGGCTACATCACAAGCAAAGTGGCTGAGATTTGTTCTAGAAGACTTTGGAGAAGAACAAGTGGAAGGAACTCAGATCTTGTGTGATAATACATCAGCCATTGCTATGGCAAAGAATCCAGTCTTTCATCAAAAGACAAGACACATCAACAGGAAGTTCCATTTCATCCGAGAAGCAATTCAAGCCAAAGAGATTGAGTTAGTGTACTGCAGGACAGAGGAGCAGATTGCAGATATACTTACTAAGGCTTTACCTAAAGATCGATTTGTGTATCTAAGGGAGCTACTTGGAGTTAAATCAGCCAAGGATTAGAAGGGAGTGTTGGTGTATAATCCTTTAGCTGAAGCTTGGCAGCAAGAATCAGGTTTCTATGTTTTGTTTCAGTTTGAATGTGAGCCATTGGATCATAGTCCACATGGCATTTTAATCTTGTATCTAGTCTAAGTAATAGAATAAGCCAAGTGGCATCATCTCATAGGGTGATAGCAATGAATGGCTAAGATTGTATTATATGTTGAAGAGTGAAGGATCTCCCTTCCTTTCTTCATATAACGGTTAGATTGTATTATGTGAAATCTTAATGAAATTCGAAGAGACATTTTGCAGCTTCTTCTCTCTGAAACTCTCTCCATCTTTGAAGACAACCTCCATTGAAACACATACTGAAAACACACACACAAACACTAACAACGAGGACCCATCAAAGCATCCACAGCCCTGTTGGCCACGGCATATCCAATCGCAAAAGCCGTACCTGCATGCAACAAGACCAATTCGAATGATTGTATTGTAATTATGCACGGTTATTATAAGCGATGTTTTAAAAGGCGAAAGCGTGGGTGAGGCGTTTGATGGATAGTCTCGTCTAGGCGAAAGCCTTCACCTCATGAGACCTAATTTTTTAATACATATTTTATACATATAAAAATATAATAGTCACAAACAAGTTTAACTTCACATAACCAAGTTTTAATCAAGCAATCAAATTAATCAATTTCAAACATCTATACTTAAGCAAGTGCATATTTATATGAGAGTCTTGGATAATATTTGGGTGGGATAGGTAATCTTAAAAAAACGAGAAATAAGGAAAAAATATAACAAATTAAAAAAAAGAATAATATAACTTTAAGAAAATAATAATCCAAATAAAAAGATGTTTTCTTTTCTACGGCCAATCATGAGAATATTCAGGAAAATAATAAAAACAAAAACAAAGCAATGCTTATCTAATATATATCTAGTATATGAGAAAATAAATATTAGAAATAAAAAGTGAAGAGAAAAGAGATAGTGGGGTAATAAATGTCTTTAAAGTGAGATTAGTTTTAAAAAGTAAAGATAATGGGGTAATAAATGTGGCAAAGTGAGGTCAGTTTAAGTATTAAAAAAAGAATAAAAATTAAAAACACAAACTCAGCCTAAAAAACCTAGTCGTCTTCTTCATCTTCTTAATCTCCTTTGTTGGTGTTCATGGCCTGTAACTCAAAACAGCTCTGCAACTCTAAAAAAATTCCTGATTTTTGAAACTTATAAAAGAAAAAGGGATGCACAATCGACGCCTCAGGTGCCTAGGCGCCCCCCAAGAAGCTTAGGCATGCATTTTGCCAACTCCCTTAAAACATAGGCAAAAATGGTGCAGCCCCACCTCCAAGGCCGTCTAGGTGCGCCCCAAGGCGAGTCTTTTAAACCACTGATTATATAAGCAACCAAACGAACAAAAAGAAACTTACCTATCTACGTATGTACGTGCTCTGAATGAACAAAAACATAAATCCACCATTACCAGTTGGAGCTGGAGCTAGAGATGGAGAACGATGAGCTTGGCGAATTGCATGTGCATGGTAACCTAGAGCCGGAGATGGATAGATTCAAATATCTTTAAATTGAGTATTTTATATAGTTGATTTTGAGTGTTTAAACATGAATTGTGAGAGATTTTGCACCAAAAATACATTTTGTAGAATATAAAGACGATAATTTGGTGTTATGGCAAGGGAAAGAAAAACAAAACAAAATAAAAAAAATTAAAATAAATGTTATGAAACTTAATGTGAATGCCACATATGTAATTATGTAAGGTAGCAAATCAAGTTAGACTTTCGATGGCAACCTTTAAAAGTCTTAGATAAAAGTCCTAGTATGGTAAGTTTTTCCCCATGCATGTAAGGATGTGTCAGATGAAAATCTCTATAAATAGAGGTGTGTTTGTAACCTTAATACAAAGAAATTTTTAGCTGTGATGAGAACACGGGTGATACATCACATGTTTTTATGCAAGTGGTGAGAAATTTTATTTTTTTTAAGTTATTAACTTTTTTAACACACATATCCCACCATTTATATAGCGACCACCTCGTGTAACGGTTACATTGAAAAATCTCTCCTTAATACAACACACTAGATCAAGAGTAAAAAGTAATAATACATATATCTCTTCCTTCTTTTTACGTGCATCCTTTGTGTGATACAGTTACAAAACAATCAGTGTGATACATGACACCCGTTCCAATTCTATTTATAGCAAGGAAATTGTAGCAATGATCTCTCAACTTTAATCAAATTGGAGCAATGGTCCTCAATTAAAAATCTATTATCATTGGTCCCTCAACACATCAAAATGTGTAGCTATGGTCTTTTTCGTCAACTTCGTTAGAATTTTGTCAAAATAAGTTATGTTGGAATGACCATTCCTACAATTGGAGTCTCAACTTATCAAAACGTGTAGCTATGGTCTTTTTTGTCAACTTCGTTAGAATTTTATCAAAATAAGTTATGTTAGAAGGACCATTCCTACAATTGGGGTCCCTCAACTCATCCAAATGTGTAAAGATGGTCATTTTCGTCAGTTTCGTCAAAATTTTGTCAAAATGAGTTATGTTGAAATGACCATTGCTACAATTGGGTTAAAGTTGAGGGATCATTGCTTCAATTGGGTTAAAGTTGAGTAACCATTTCTCTAATTGGATTAATGTTGAGGGACCAATGGTAATTGATTTTTAGTTGAGGGATCATAGTTGCCCATTCTGATGAGTTGAGAGACCAATGAAAATGGATTTGAGGGAGCATTGCTCCAATTGAGTTAAAGTCAAGTGATCATTACTACAATTTATCATCTCTAAAAAATGTTACCTCTCTCATTTTTGCCTATTTACAATATAAAATATATTTAAATAATGGAATTGTTATTAGCATTTCAAAAATCTCATTTTGCACTCCAAACTTTCTATAATTAGAAAGAAAAATACACTTGTGATGAGCGTAGAATGAGATTTTGTAATAATAATTCCCTTAAATAATAAATGAATAAATAAAATTGAGGGGGGGGGGGGATCGTCCCCATATTTTGTAGAATATCTCCTGCTTTTTTCTCCGATTCAGAATTATGTGAAGGAAGAAACTTGGAGTTGGAGTTGGAGTTGCAGAGAGAAAGCTTCTTTATGTTTGCCTACAAACCCAAATCCCTCTTCCCATCTCTTCCAAAACACATTTCAAATTCCCTACTTTCTCACTCCTCCTCCTCCTCCTCACTTGTCTCTGCACTCCCACCGCGCCCTTCCCTCCGCCAAACCAAGCAAGCCCATGCTCACATCATCGTCTCCGGCCACGCCGCCTACTCTCCCCTCCTTTCCCACCTCCTCTGCCTCCTTTCTCTCTCCCCAACTACTCCATTTCACTACTCCCTCTCTCTCTACCACTCCATCAAATACCCATCTGTTTTCGCCACCAATAACATGATCCGCTGCTTCGCAAAGAGCGATTCGCCTCTCCTTTCCCTGCTTCTCTTTTCCTGCTCCATCCTGCGATCCTGCGTCAAGCCCAACAACCATACTTTTACTTTTCTGCTTCAAGCTTGCAGCAGGGCTATGGCGCTCACTGAAGGAGATCAGGTTCATGCCGTTGTTGTAAAACTTGGTTTTGGCGGGTATGTTTTCGTGAGGAATGCTTTGATTCATTTGTACTGTTCTTGCTCTAGAATTGAATGCTCGAAACGGGTGTTTGAGGAGAATGTTAGTTCCCGAGATGTGGTTACTTGGAACTCAATGCTGACTGCTTTTGTAAGAGACGAGCAGATTGGTGTTGCAGAGAAGCTGTTTGAGGAAATGCCCGCGAGAGACGTGATATCGTGGAGCACGATGATCTCGGGTTACGTCCAAAATGGAGGGTTAGAACAAGGGTTGGAGTGCTTTAAACGGATGAGGGAGGAAGGGATTAGGATGAATGAGGCCACATTAGTCTCTGTTCTTTCAGCGTCCGCGCAATTGGGGTTGCTCGAACATGGTAGATTAGTTCACTCGCTTGCTGAGTCTTTGAATTTTCCTTTGACAGCTTGCCTCGGCACAGCTCTGATTGACATGTACGCAAAATGTGGATGCATCGAACAGTCTAAACTCTTGTTTAAAAACATGACCCAGAGAGATATTTGGACATGGAATGTCATGATCTGCGGATTGGCATCGCATGGCCTTGGGAAAGAAGCACTTGCACTTTTTGACAGGTTCGTTGATGAGGGTTTCCGTCCCGCAAATGTGACTTTCATTGGTGTCTTGGGTGCCTGTAGTAGAGCAGGTTTGGTACGCGAAGGAAGACATCATTTTAAGTTGATGACGGAAAAGTATGGCATATTACCTGAGATGGAGCATTATGGGTGCATGGTTGATATCTTGGGCCGTGCAGGGTTTGTAGATGAAGCTGTTGAGTTGATTGAGAAGATGACGGTTTCCCCAGATCCTGTATTATGGGCAACACTCCTTGGTGCCTGTAAGATACATGGATCAATAGAATTGGGTGAAAAGATTGGGAACAAATTACTAGAACTGGATCCAACCCATGACGGGCATTATGTACAACTAGCCAATATATATGCAAAGGCAAGGAAATGGGAAGACGTTGTGAGAGTTCGGAGATTAATGGTTGAGCAAAATACTAATAAAGCTGCAGGTTGGAGCTTGATTGAAGCACAGGGTAGAGTTCATAAATTTGTTGCAGGGGATAGAGAGCACGAACGCTCTCTAGAGATTCACAAAATGCTGGAGACAATTGGAACACGAATAGCAGAAGCTGGCTACTCACCGAATGTTACATCAGTTTTGCATGATATAGGGGAGGAAGAAAAAGAGAACGTTATAATGGAGCACAGCGAGCGACTTGCGATGGCTTTTGGCCTGTTAGTGACAGAGGCTGGGGAGTGCATTCGAATCATGAAGAATCTGAGAGTTTGTGAGGATTGTCATGAGGTAAGCAAGATAATTTCGAAGGTGTTTGAGAGAGAAATTATAGTGAGGGATGGAAGCAGATTTCACCATTTCAAGGACGGAAAATGTTCCTGCCTTGATTATTGGTAGAGTAGGCTTTGCTTTCTGGAGCTATTACCCTGCCTTGTTCACTGATCTCCGGAAAAGTATTTAGTACCCATTTTGGTCTCCCTATCCTCTTCTTGTTATGCCGTTACCAATCGCTCGAGAACTACAATCTTTGGCTTTTTCAATGTGCCCGGACATGATCACCGTTCCACAATCTCTACCACCACTTTTATGTCACTCCCGTCACCCACCACGACAACTACCTCTGTTAGCATTGTCTTACCTTGCCTACCACTCCCATCCTCACCACCGCCGCTACTGCCACCACCACCTTCACTCTTACTTTGCTACGACCACCTTGTCACAACTATTACCACCACAACCTCCTATGGCCACCTTACCACCTCCTCCCCCAACATGACTTCCACCAACCCCAACATGACTACCACCAACACCACGACAGCTACTATCGATGCCGGGACCGCCGCCGCAACCTCGAATGACCACTTTGTCTTGATCATAGTCATCATTTTAATTAAAATCCAAAATAAGTCGCAAACTCTACTTCCATGTAGAATTCAATCAAAATCCATACGATAGCATGGAAGTCAAATAGCTTGTCGTATAAAGTTTATCATTTCCAGCCCAACACACAACATTCTCGATATTCAAACTTAAAATCTCTTACTTATAGTTAGAAATGAATATGTTAGACCGTAATATTACGTGGCAGGAATACCAAACATTTAAGTTAAAAAGAAAATTGTACCCAAATATGAGTGCATTTTTGCTCACCACCCTCAAGTAGTAATTCTCATCACTATATTTATTACCGTTAGATGAGTTTAATTTTGAGATTTATGCATCAATACAGATCTCAAAATTTAAAATAATTATAATAATATAATTAGCTTGAATTCCTTCCATCCCTTGGATAGATAGAGGGGAGGGTAGAGCTTTTGGTTTGTCATGTTGTCAAAGAGTTGAACAATGGTTTTTGGTGTTGTCAAAGAGTTGAACAATGAAAATAGATGGTGAGTGCCTGATCGAATTGATCGGGTCATGTAGGAACAAGGTTCAATTTTACCGGTCTGTTTAAAATGCCTTAGCTGCATAAATGACTGCACTTCCACTTGACACCTATTGTAATGATAAACGGCTTGTCTAGCCATGACCTTCTCTTGAATTCTCAAAACTTCTATCGCTCCACTCCCACAGGGGTAGAAAACTCATCGTTGTCTTGGATGTGCTACCGGAGGCTCTGGGGAAGGCGGAATAGGACAACACTTATCTTGGGGTTCTGAAGCAAAGATATCCACGTGGCAGTTCGTCCTATTAAGATATTCACGACTAAGAAGTACTGGATATTTTTCAAAATTTTAACCAATTGTATTACACTTGGTCTACCTGACAGTATAACCGACGAGAGATTTTTCAAAGTATATAGAATACCGACACATATACCACCTGTCATTATCGATGATTTGTTTTTTTTTTTTTAAATTTCCGGACATTTCTCCACTAGAAGGTGGCGGTGACCAAAAATATTCTCTCACCCGAATATAAAGACAGTGTAAAGTGGAGGAGCAGAGCGACGGATGGAATTCCGCTTTCTTTCCACCCAAACCAAAATGTTCGAGGCAAAATTCCAGATTATTCTTTTGGCATTTGACCCAAACAGCATGGCTTTATTATGAACTGGCCCCCATTCAACGCAAAACGTCTGTTTCTCACCAATATTTTTTGTTTCAACTCTCACAGCGCTAAGCACTCTCGTCTTTGTAAGCTCCTCGTTCCCTCCTCACTGGGTCTTGCGTTTACAGAAAGCGCCATTGCTGCAAACGCAATGAACTTCTTCTTTGAAGGCCTAAGGGTAAAGGTACTCTCTTTTGTTGTTTCTCTCAACTGGGTCTCTTACATTTTCTTTGTTTATGGATTCTGTAATTTACTAATTTGGTAGAACTTGAATACATGAAATGCCGCATAGAAAGATAAACATTCCCAGAAAAAATAAATTGAAGAAGAAGCTTATTGATTAGAATTTGGAGCTACTGCATGTAATTGTTTGAAATAGTTCTTGCTTTCATGCTTTCATTTCGGTAACTGGGTTCTTTTTCTTTTCCTTTTTGGTACTAGCATTTGGGTTTTTTTTCAATAGATGATGAGGTTTTTCCTTGTTTTGTTTTTGGTACTGTGGTGTTAGGGGAAGCTGTTGATTTGACAGGTTTAGGGGAAGCTGTTGTGATACAAAAACTTGGGTTGTTGAATTGGCATTTTGGGGTTGAAGAATAGAGGGTTGATCAAAATGCCGAGAAAGAGTAAAAGAAGAAAGGAAGAAATTTGTGAAGATTATTGCTTTCGATGCAAAGATGGAGGAGCTGTGAGGATATGTGATTATAAGTGAGTTCTGAAATTTTACCGAAAATTGAAATACTAGTACTTCATATATTGCATTGAGGAAGGCAACTTCGTCTTTCCACAATGCTTTACAGTAGGTTAATTCAGTGGACCCTGGAATCAAAATCCTGCAGCACATGTTTTTTTGTTGGTGCTTATAGATGGCTTTATTTAAATTTAAAACAGGACATGCTATATGAATGATGTATTTTGGTAGTGTTTCGAGATGTTCTGTTGAATAGCATGATTTCTTTCCCCACAAAATTAGCCATGCACCCATCAGATTTTTTGTTGACTTTTAACTATGTTTAGTATAATGGTTTTTTGGGATTCAGAATTTAGGGTTCTTAGGATTTTGAGCATTTAACTCTAAATTCAGGAGTCCGCAATTGGAGAGCCCAAAAATTAATTTAATTAAGAATGCAATTCTCAATTTCTCATTCGTTACATTCCGTTACATTGTAATTTTAACTTAATTGCGGTGTATTTTTAAGAAGTAGCAGGCATGCTAAGATTTAGGACCTCCGGCAACCTGAACAAAGAAAGAATTAAGAAACTAAAATTTAAAAGTGGGACAAGTATGAATAACTATTAGAAATGCATTTTAGGACTGATTCTTATCATTAAGTATTTTAATAAGACCATATCATGTTCTATGTCATTTGATGAAAACTCAATGGTTATAATGAGAATGGATTACAGAATGTAGGTAGACGGTAAGCTTTCTGTGAACTTTCAAATTTTATCTATGACTTAGAGCATAATTTGTTTCTCATTTAAATACATAAAGTTATGTGGCTAGATATTTCTCATCTAAAAGGATTTAAGATTTTCAAAAGGATGCAACTAGTCAAGGATGAGATTTCAAAAGGAAGAACCCTCCTCCTCTCTAAGTTTTTGCTTTTGGTCTTTTAGTTGAAATGCTCCCTCTAATCTTTCAGGGACTGTCTAAAAGTTTATCATCCTCAGTGTGTCGAAAAAGATGACTCGTTTTTGAAGAGCAAAGATCGCTGGACTTGCAGTAAGCTCTCAATTTATTCTATGATAATGCCTCAGCCTTACAACATGTCATTGTCAATGAAATATGCGCATTTTATGCATGGAAAAAGGTGCGATGCGTACAATTTTCTATGTTATGTTTGACACTCCCAAAGTATGTATGCATGAAACTTGACTCGATGTATTTTAGTTATTCACCATAAAGATGTTCTCAAATCTTTCTTCAACTGACTTCCGCAATTGTAGCTCTCATACCTTGCATTCAAATTGTTCTAAAAAAAGGAGGAGATAAACTTTGGTGAAATGTATCAATTTCATAAAGAATTTAACAGATATGTTAACTCTTGTAGAAGTTTTGATGAAATGTGGCCATGGAAGATAATACTTCCTTCAGTTCATTATTATTTCTTCTTTTTCGAAAATGTAGAGTGTTATCAGTTAATAAAAAGTAATTTATTTACTTGAGGTGTTATCTGAGTTTTAGTATTTATTATCTCGTCTCTTTTTGCTAGCATCCATTTGTAGAGAATAGATTAGCCAGTTAGTAATATGATTTCTTGCATTTCAGACCGCCATTCTTGCTTCATATGCCAAAGAATTCCCAAGTTTTATTGCTTTTGCTGCCCGCAAGCTGTGTGCGGGCGTTGCCTCTGTGATGCTGAGTTTGCTGTAGTTAAGGGGAGTGAAGGATTTTGCAATCATTGTTTGAAGCTTGCAATAATGATAGAAGAAAATGTGGATGTGGATTCTGATGGGGTATGGTTGTTTCTGATTAATGCTAAGAAAAGGCGTCTCTTGTTTCTTCTGCATACATAAATTTTGTTTCATATGAGAAATCTAAAGTAGGAAACTCTCCTAAGCAATTGTATTTAAATACGAATTCCAAAAATTAGATACTAAACCTAATGTATTCTGGGCCAATTAAATTTTCAGTCCTTTTGGTTTGGTCCGTGTTCTACTTTGGTCCTGTAGTTTCAGTTTTGGCCATCAACCTTGTAGTTAACTGATAAATTTCATTAGCAAAAGTCAAGAAGTAGTAGAATGTCCATGTGGTGTTCACATTTGCAGTTGAATTGTTTACTTTTTCTCTGAAGTAGATTCAATTTAAATCTGCTTGTTATGCTCTCGTAACATGGAAATATATTGAGTACAATTGTCTACAGCTACAACAACAACAACAAAGCCTTTTCCCACTAAGTGGGCTCAGCTATATGAATCCTAGAACGCCATTGCGCTCGGTTTTGTGTCATGTTTTCCGTTAGATCCAAGTACTCTAAGTCTTTTCTTAGAGTCTTTTCCAAAGTCTTCCTAGGTCTTCCTCTATCCCTTTAGCCCTGGACCTCTGTCTCGTAGTCGCATCTTCTAACTGGAGCGTCAATAGGCCTTCGTTGCACATGTCCAAACTACCGTAACCGATTTTCTCTCATCTTTCTTTCAATTTCGGCTACTCCAACTTTGCCTCGGATATCCTCGTTCCTAATCTTATCCTTTTGCATGTGCCTACACGTCCAACAAAGCATCCACATCTCCGTTACACCCATTTTATGTACGTGTTGATGCTTCACCGCCTAACATTTCATGCCATACAGCATCGCCGGCCTTATTGCCATCCTATAAAATTTTCCCTTGAGCTTCAGTGGCATACAACGGTCACACAACACGCCGGATGCACTCTTCCACTTCATCCATCCAGCTTGTATTCTATTGTTGAGGTCTCCATCTAATTCATCCATCCAACTTGTATTCTATTGTTGAGTACAATTGTCTATTGCATGAAAAATACCATGAATCATTATCGAAGGATTTTACTCTTTATTGTTCGAAGTTGACCCCACTAAAAGAAATTTATGGCTCCGTCCCTGATCATTCTTGTTTCTAGTCATTGTGCATATTTGAAGTTTCATATTAGCATCTAATGAGGGTAGAGAGTTAATAATCATGTCCATGGTAAATTTGTAAAAATCATATTAAGATTGGGGATATTAGAATCATAATTTTTAAAAATTAACTTTGTTTATAACTTTATATTATTAAGTTGCTTCGTAAAATTTGAGATCTATAGATAACGTAAGGTCCAAAAGAGAAACCTTGAAATACAGGATTTTTTTTTGTTTCTTTTAAATAGTGTATTATTTTGTACTTGAAGTTGTTATTTCTTTCATGTACAATTATTTGTAAATACGGAATTACAGATATAGTGACCTGTGGCCTGGTCACTTTTCTGGCTTGTCATTTTGGTTTGTTAAGGAAAGTGGAGCAGGCCTTCTGTGATTTGATGATATAGAACTCCAGACTTCTCCTCTTTGTCATCTCAGAATGTGCTCTTTTGTTTTTCAGGGGAGAGTTGATTTCAAAGAAAGAAATACGTTTGAGTTCCTATTCATGGAATATTGGGAAATAATAAAAGAGAAACATGGCTTATCTTCAGAGCAGGTTTACTCCGCAAAAGACTTATTGAAGAATGGTGAGAACCATACACATGACTCTGACTTCGATTTAAACGAAATTTCTCAAGAAGAAGAAAGTTTTACTGAATCTGATGAAGAAAGTGATGACGACAATTGGAAAGGTAGAGAAGAATACGTGCCAGTTGGCAAAAAGAAGAGATCCAAGGGAAACCAGTGTGCAATGAAAAGGAAAGCAAAAGCAACGAAAATAGAGTTTAGAGGATGGGGGTCAAAATCTCTCTTAGAATTCCTCATTTCCATCGGGAAAGATACAACCAAGGAGTTATCGCAGAATGAAGTTACCACTATAGTTTCAAACTACTGTAAAGAACACAACCTTTTTCACCCACAGAAAAAGAAGATGGTAATGTGTGATCCAATGCTGCAGTCTCTTTTGGGAAAGAAATCTATCAATATAAATAGGTTATATAACCTTCTGGATGCCCATTTTGCTGAGAATCTTGACTTAACCGAGGAGGATGAGACTGGCAGTAGTTCTGAAGACAATGATAAGAATCTTATGGTGACTTGTAATAGGCAGCCCAAGTTGGTCTCAGATAGACAACCTCAAAAGACAAATGTAGTTCCGGGTGTGCGGAAAACCTGTTTTGCTTCCATAGTTGCTGAAAACATTAAGCTTGTGTACCTGAAGAGGAGTTTGGTGGAGGAATTGTTAAAGCAACCTGAGACTTTTGATGAAAAAGTAGTAGGAAGTTTTGTGAGAGTCAAATCTGACCCAAATGATTATTCACAGAAAAATTCTTACCAGCTCTTGCAAGTCAAAGGTAAGTTCTTAATGATGGCTACTAATTTTGAATGGTAATGATTGTTAATCTTTTCGTCTGATATTAAAGAACTCAATTCTGCTTGCTGCAAATATTTTCAGCAGTTCGTGAAAGTAAGAATCCTGATACAGTAATTTTAACAGGGTTTTTATCCTGGCGTTAGCTGGGGAATACAACTGTTTGGTTTTCATGCAGAGATTACAATGTTTTTTTTCTTATACGAATATTATGACAAAGTAAGATATCATAAATAATGAATTCAATGTGTTAGCTTGATATGCATCATTGGCCCATTCCATACAGTTTAAGCTTTTGGGGATGGTTGTCCAACATTGGGTCATAGTTTTAGTTGCATGAGGTCTTGGGTTGGAAACCAACAATCTACATTTCCCACTTGTTTGATCTCAAAGGTGTATTGTAGGCATTTGCCTATGTCCGCACGAGTGCACGGATCAGGATGGGGTTGTATATGATGGGTGATGGTTGTCTATAAAATCTCATAACCATGTAAAAGTTAGACCACTAGGAGATTAACGAGATGCAAGGCTTAGGTTACCTGATGTGAGATTATTATATTCTCAAGACTAGTTGTAGGATGACCTCACTAATGAGCTTCCAAATGGAGAGGCTCCTGATTCTGATATGTTAGAACTGTAATCCTGCCAGTTTTCTCCTTGGATGATCACTTATGCTTTGTATTATCATTTCATACTTTTCTAGGCACACGGAAAACTTCGAGCAATGGTGAAATGAATACAGAAATTTTCATGCAACTTGTCAATATGCCAAAAGATGTACAGGTCTGCGAGCTGTCAAATGATGACTTCTGTGAGGTAATATTGTTGTGTCAATTTTCTTGTAAGATGGTGAAAGTTAACTGACTTGGCTTTTCTTTCAAAGAACAAAACTAAAATACTTGGTTCATTCGAATGGCGTTTATGTAGGTCAAGTTTTTTCGTTGACCAAGGTTTGTCAGATATAACATTTAGTTGTTCATGTTTGTTAAGGGCACTTACTTTGATTCTTGTGCGTAATTGTCATTCCTTATGACTCATAGAGATTATTCTTTCTTTTCAAACACAAATTATGGTTACTGTGGCTGAGAACACTTACATACCCAAGACTAGAGTTAGAGTTTAAACCTCCCCCTCTCCCTACCCTTTTCGCCTCCTTTGTGCCAAATAGTAAGAAAAACAAATTAAAGGTGCAAACTCAGAAACCAAAATTGCATGAATCAATTAAAGTTACTGCTTTTTATATTTTGCAAGTATTTTTCACAGAATGAGTACTCAGTTGGATTGTATGTTATGCAGGAAGAGTGTAAAGATTTGCATCAGAGAGTGAAAGAAGGAAAGCTTAAGAGGCCCACTGTTGTAAGTTTTTGTTATGCATAATCAATTTAGTGTTTTCTGAAAACTTGTAGATAAATGAAAGCTTACCTTTACAAAAGGTTTTAATTGAACTTGACAAATTTATGCAAATATTGAATAAGATTTTAACCTATCTAGAATGAAAGAAAGCGGTGGCTTAGGGTAGGTAATTTGGTGATGGGGTCCTTCTTGGAAATGGTCCCGGAGTCTTAATATGGAGAGGGGGTTCCCTTTGGCATGCTCTGAGAAGTAAAAATAGTTTATATGGTAATACGTTGGGATTCCAAATTAGTAGTCTTCCCTTTTTCCTTTCTTTTTTAAATAAAAAAAACAGGAGTCCAAATAAGTGGTCAGGGGATCAATTTGTTGCCATGGAAAGATATTGAATATAATTCACCAGTTTGTGAATTATATTGATAATGACATTCAATCTGTGATACATCACATTGATATTGATAATGACTCAACCAATTTGTCCATTGATTCATTCCAGAATTACAAAGATTCTTACTCTCGTGGGTTATGACATTAACTCGTCCTCTTCTTTCGTTGTTTTGTGGTGGGAAATGGAGAAATATGTCTGGTTTTGCAATATTGGGCGGTGGAAGACCGTTATTCATCATTTTCACGTTTTTAAAGACTTTCCGGTTTTCATAGTGTTTTCATGAATAGCACGTGTGTAAATTCTTATTTTCCAGCCTGTGATGTCACTTTTCCTTATATATTTACATTTAAAAACATATTTCTTGTACAAAATCAGATGATCCAACTTGATAAATAATTTAGACAGCCAATTACAAACTGTCTATATCTTTTATTATTTTGTAGTATTTCTGAAAGCATTCGTCTTTCATTTATAAATATATTTAGATCGCCTATATAATTTGTATTTAAACTCAATTAATATAACTTTAAGATAAATTAGATTAGATATAAATTATAAAACAAATACTTCTGCAATACTTGGGTTTGCTTGCATAGAGTATTTGATATATTTCAACCTGTTAATCAGGATTTTCTTGTTTGATAGGTGGAGCTTGAACAGAAGGCTAGATGTCTGCACAAGGATATAATGGAGCGTGTGCGTTTTCTTGCTTTAACCTCTAACAAGAATATCTGTTTTCTATGTTATCTTAATTTTGAGATTCCCAATAGTTGAAAGTGTGACTATGGATGCCTCACACAAATAAGCTGGGGCATGCTTTGAAAAGATATTGACTTCATATTGTTTTCAGACTGTAATCTACGATTTGAAACTGTAAAAATGCAAATATGTTTTTAACTGCTAGACCAAAAGTCTATTTAGCAGTGCAATAATTTTTTCTGTTTCAGAACACTTGAGAACAGAAACAGTGAAAAACAAAACACCATCTTTGGAAAGTTTTTCAAAATACCTACTTAGAGAAATAAAATTACAACGTCAAAATGAGCAAAAGCAAAGAACCGTAAAAAAATATCACATATAACTGATACAAGTATTATGTTTCTCACTACTCTCTGTGTACTGTTTTGCCTAATATTTATTTAAAATTCAGCCAAACAGGCTTTATGAAATCATGTACGCTTTTTTGGCTTTGTGCTAGGTAACTGTCAGCAACACATCTCTTGTTTATATTTTCTACACTATGCCATTATGGAGTGTTTGACTATTTGAAAAGTGTCTATTGTGCAATGATCTGTTTTTTCATGTGACCTTCATACTCCAGTATTTGCTCATCTTTCTGTTGTGTGTGGATTTTAACGTTCTTGCTTGCCTTTTGATTTTATGTACTTCTGAATCATCTGGTCAAAAACATCTCAGTGGATTGCTAGAGAGCTGTCTCTGTTGCAAAAGCGCATTGACCAGGCAAATGAAAAAGGATGGAGGAGAGAATATCCTTTCATTGATGTTATTAACAACATAACAAAAAAGTTGGTGTATGACATATGTTGGGAAGTTTTAGTATATTATGATTGTTATAGTATACATGTATAGTTGTAGAAACCTGGAGATGTAGGGACAAGTTCATATTGTGAAGCAACGCGTTGACAAAATTTACTGTGCTAGATAGTTCTTGAATATGGACAGATCTGATATGTTCCTTGGGTCTCTTGCATTTCATTCTTTTTAGATATTTCGTTGTGTAGATTGTCTCGAGCTATTAAGTTTCGCATGTGACCCTTTGTTTTTCAGTGACTAGGAAGTATCAAGTGTGCTAGTTGTTATAAAATCTATATTAAGTTGAGATGGAACCAAATGTTTCTAGTCTTAGTTTCTCTCAATTATATATTTTCAGAAAAGGGTATTGGTTCAGCCCTTTGACTAATCCTACTGCAGTGTCTAGCACATTTCCAGGTCAGGCTTTCATCAAATTGAAATTGTTTACATTGTTAAATTAGAATGTTTGCAACATGAAACAAAAAATGACATTCCCTTGTTCTTTGGCTCTGTTTTTGACCCCCTTGTTCATTAGTTTAGTTTTTTCTTTTCCGTTTTACGCTGGCCATGGGTGGTTGACAGTAGACTCATATAATTTATCCCTATGTACTACTTTATCTAGATAAGAAAATTGTGACTCTTGACCTAAATTTTCTGAATACGCTTGAGCAATACTTGGATAAGAAGCTGCTTCTTGAGAAACCATCAGAACAATTCCGATTAATAAATGAGGTTCCAGAAGTAATTGCAGATGTAGAAAAACTTGAACCTACTCCTGAGAACTCTCTAAGCCAGGATCAAACAGAACATGATGGATCACCTGAATCAGCCCCCAGAGCCAGATGGTCTTCTCAAACTCCCAGAACTGGTCTAGCCAACAGAACTGTCTACTACGAAAAGGGCGGAACAGATCCATCAGGTTTGTTAAGCTTGTAATTTTAAATATTGTTAAGAAGCTTCTCTTGGAACACCGTTAGAACAATCAAGATCATTAAATGAGTCGCAGGTACAGAAAAATTTAAACCTACTCCTGAGAGCTCTCCAAGGAAGGACAAACAAGAATGTGATGGCTTTCCTGATTCAGCCTTCAAAGGGTCCTGTCCAACTCCAAACACTAATTTAGCCAGTGGAACTTTGTGTCTTCCAAATGGAGGAACTGATCCGGCAGGTTTGTTCTAAGCTTCTGTCTCAGAATGATGAGTTCTATATTGTTCACTCGGGTTCATTATTATTTCCACTAATCAACGGGAATAAGGACATGCTTGCATGCAGAAACAACGTTCCTAGATCATGACTAACTTTACCATTTGATTCTTAGTTCTGAGAGTGACAAGTATTGGATGTACCTCTCACAGAATTTTTAGTATCTTGACAATTTTAGACGGCCTAAAATTCTACTCTTGCTTCGGTGTGAGGTTGATGAATATGAAATTGAAATTTATGTCAAATCAACTGTCACTCTGCATAAATACTATTTTTGTTAACCCATTCTGTTTTCGATATATAGTGTTTTCTCCCTTGTTGCTTTCTGGTCAGTTTCACTTGGTAATGTGATTTGAGTAACTGGCTCTTTGTGAGGGCAACATCTTTTCTAAAAAGAAAGTGCTCTCAAGTGTTAACATCAACGTAAGATACTGTGCATTGGTAAAAACTGCATAATACTTTAGTGTTGATGTGTAAGAGTTTTATTGTTGGTATGTAAGTGTGGACACCATTTTGATGCATCTACTACAGAACATGGTAGTAACAATTCTGCCGGACTGACTGCTGTAAAGTTGATTAGACAATTTCATATTTTGAGTCCAGAAGTTCGAGGTGGCATTCGTCAAAAGGAGCACCAATTCGTTCAAGTGAAGAACAAGTCTCATAAAGTCTTGTTCTCTGAAGAGTTTATAAAAAAACCTCTTGATTTTGCTTCCCAAGGTAAACCTGATATCGACCTGCAAGAGCCGCACCATTTTAGTTCCGGTGTCGATATTAAAAGGCAAAGTGAAGAATGTGTTGAGCAAAAATTGAAAAATGAAAGCACATCCAAAGCTGAGTTAATTGAGCTAAGCGATGATGATGAAGATGTACATGATGAAGTTAAAGCACCTGCATCTGAAGACCCAGATTCTGCACTATGGCATTGTATGAGTCCTCTTGGTGAAACAAGAGGCCCCTATAAAATGTCATTGTTAAGGCAGTGGAACAATTCAAGTTGCCGTCCATTGAAATTCAAGGTTTGGAAGGAGGGTCAAAGCGAGGAAGAGGCAGTGTTTCTTGATGATGCCGTTCGTCAAAGTCTTCCCAATACGTAGATGTACAGTTGAAAGGCGATGGGGTGCCAAGTGATTTTCCAGAGGCTAATAGGTACGAGTTTTTTTAAGAAATAGAAGAAAACTTTCTTGTGAATTAAACTTTCAGCCTTTAGGGATGATTAAGCAGACATGATAGGGGGGCAATGTAAGTACCAAAAGCAAAAGTTGGGTATATTATGAAATGAAAGGAGTAAAATTAGGAAGAAGGCGATCAAGTGACAATTAACCTTGCAGCTTGTTTTGGTTCTAAAAGAAAAGTTACTAATATCCGTACATCAGTTAAAGTTGCATGGAACTTAGGCTCATTTGAAAGTCTCTTGTTTGGTCTGTAGTGCATCTGTAGTGTTTCCGTGCTTGAGTAGTTGGTTAGTAGTATCCTATCCTTGTAGTTTATTTTTAACAAGTGAGTCCAAAGTTTTTTGGTATTTTGAAAGTCCCTTGTTCAAACATACGCTTAAAGTTTGGGAAGAGGATCCTCTCCGGATCCACTTTGTGGGGATCTCATCCTAGCCTTTCATCATACATTGTGCCACCAATTTTCGTCAGGTACTATTTGTGTTTAATTTTAAATTAAAAAAAAACAGTCAAATGATTTATGACCGCACGATGCACGATGAATGACTATTTAGATCCGGATAGGATCCAAATCCTAAAGTTTGGAATGTGAAACCAAAATTACATCCCAAATTTGCTTCTTCACGAATGTAATGTGGGTTTTAATCCAGTCAGAGGGGCAGTGTGCTTAACTTCATAATGAGTTAGTAATAATGTGATTTAAATTTATCTTTGGTGATAATCGAGCTTAAGACCTTCTCTTATAATGAAGAGAAATATCATCTCAGAATGTAGTACGAAGTGGTCAAATATGTGTTGTTAATAGTATTACGGTGGTTGTATTTGAATAATTTGCCTCAAGTGGTGGTTTTTTCTGATGGATAAAGTATTTATTTTCAACTCACTATATATCGGGTTCAAATTCTTCTTCCACCCCTCAATGTTGATTAATGTAGAAAAATATCGCAATTATTAAACAAGATAATAATAATTCGCCTTTGGATAATCCAAATTGATTCCGAGCAAGCACAATAATTGATTTTTGGGTTAAATATAAATAGTACCTAACAAAAATTAACCGTACGATATACGATGAACAGATGAGATCACAAGATTCCTAGGATCCCTAGGAAAATGATTCTCGCCTAGGAAAATGATCTAGCGAGAATCCTTTTCCAAGAATTACTGCAATCATATTACACAAGCTGACGTGGAACAAGGGGGCCGCCAGGTTAGAATTTTTTAATTATTTTATATAAAAAGATCTCCATAATTAGTGGGCAATTAAGGTGACAACTGAAATGTCCACTGGATTCCCATGTGGTGGCATTAGTCTCTCCTTGTAGTTTATATTTGTCCAAATTGGATTATTAGTTTTTGTAACGATAGGATAGTTGGAAGATGGTTATATAAATAAATTAAGATTTAAGCTCATATGGTGAAGTTTGTTAGGTTTTATGACTAAAATTGAAAATTCCGTTACTTTCCATTAATTCTTAGTATGTGAGCCACACATATTAGTAGGCTAAAACGGAACTCTCCGTTAATTGTTAGCACATGGAGCTACATGTGAGGCTAATTTTATCTTTTTAGTCTCACATGTGAGCCTTAGGTGCTAACAATTAATGGAGATTTGACGAAATTTTCAATTTTGGACCTAAATCCTAACATACTTCACCGTATAGGCTTAAATTCTAACTTTTTACCATAAGGACTATCTTCCAACTATTCTAGCAATACGGACTAATAATTCAATTAAGCCTTTATATTTTTCAAATTTTGTTTGTTTTAATACTAGAAAGTTGCACTATCGCTAAGCAAATAAGTAGTGGCACTACAACTGTTAGAGATTCAATAATAATAATAATTATTATTATTAATATGGCAAATAACACTTTAAGATTGTTAGATTAAATGTAGATTTATGGAGAATAATCCGAATAATGACTTTGAGGTACGATTTGAATCGTTTCCTTAAAGTGTTATTTGCCCCCACTCGAATGAGTTTGCTAAAGGGTTCTTGGCAAATCACTTCCAGGATACAACAAAGTATGGAATATTCGATTAGCAAAACCGAATTATATTCCCTTAGAAATAACTAGAAAGAAATTGTATGAATGTGATGCGTAGAGAAAAGAGAGCAAAGAAATTATGTAGACAACAAATTTCTGAATGAATTGTGTATGAAACATTATACCACAACATGTATTTATAGACATCAAAGTACCCGTTCATCGAGCCATTTCATTTTAGTTGAAGACACACAACTCTTCTTAATAGTGTTGACCCAAAAGACATGTGTTCTATTTAGAATTTTCAGAAAATAAATATTGACTAACAACAACGACGCTAAAATGATGGCACGTTTTTTTGAGAGAGGATCCTCAAATCACATTCGTTCATCATACACCGTGCGCCCAGTTTTCATCAGGTGTTGTTTATATTCAATTTCAAATAAAAAAATTTACAATAATTTATGACCACACGATGTACGATGAACGAATGTGATTTGAGGATCTCGGAGATCCTCACAAAAAGGATCCGGCGAGGATCCTCACTCCGTTTTGTTGGCCATGAATAATATAAACAATGGTTTGACATTTTGTTAAGGGTATTCAATTTTGTTTGCACTCGAGATTCTATGTTAGAATTTCTTTTTAGTAGTTTAATGTAGATATTTTATAGTTTGTAAAAAAAAAAAATTAAAATCATTGTTGTTCTACTTACCTTAATATTTTCGATTAAAACAACAAAAAATATATGTAGGATGATTCATGCTTGATTGGAATTCATGTAATATCTTATTCTTTTTTTATCATTCGGTTTTTTATCATATATAAAATGATTTATCATGCGATAGATTTGACTTTTATGAATTGTGAGTTTAGTATTTAGTTGTGGTTGACATATTGTATGACTCAACCCCAAATATCGTTAATATCAAAATATAAATTTGTAACGCATCATTACCAAATTAATATTTTATCAACTAATACAATCGTCACCTGACTGTTGACCCCTAACTACAAGAGCGTTGTAAATATTAGGCATCTTACCCGGTGGAAAAGCTACATCCAGTACCAGACCAATGATTTAAGCGATACGCCCCAAGTTTTTTTTTTTTCAAGTGCAGGAACTCCAGGACCAAAAGTAGTAAGGTTTATTCTCATAGATATAATTCACGTGAATATATGTATGGATTAAGTACCTAACCCCCAAACCTTTTAATTTTATTCTTATTTGGTCTCAACCATTGTAAGCATTCCAAATAAGTACCAAATCTATTAAAAATGTCACATCCGTTAAGCTCTAATTAACTTTTCAAGCATAGATCAAATGCACCAATTGGGTACATCAACAACAACATTAATATTAGCTGCTGCAAAATCTAAATTTCACAAATAGATTATATAATATGGAACCTAATGATCAAACAGGAATTGAATCGAGTTGAATTGAGTTGAAAATGGACCCAAATTAAAATTACACCAGGAGGACAATCTCTTAATAAAGAAGAGGGTTAAGACTTTAGATTCAAAGAGCTTGTTTTTGCTCATGTGATTTCCTTATTCACCTATTCTTGGCTCGTAAAGCTTTTAGTTCTTCTTTGTGGCAGTGAAGATGGTGGCGGCCGCATCATGGCAATCCATATTATTTCAGCAACCTCCATGACCTTTTTCTCGATGTTGGCGGCTTGATTTGTAGGGTAGAGTCAGTGATTTTGCTTTGGGTTAGGAGGTGATGGTTTGTTGGTGGAGGTGTAACCGTTTGTTGGTGGAGACTATGCTTCCATGACTTTCTATTAATTTTAGAGACAAAGTAAGTCTAGTTATCTAACAAACTTTTAACTGTAGGTCAATGGATGTGACATTTTCAATAGGTTGGGTACTTGTTTGAAATCTTTAAAAATGTTGAGACCAATTTGAAATGACACTAAAAGATAAGTACTTAATCCTATATGCATTTATCACCATCTAACCGTCAAAATGGTACATTGTATTAATACATAAAAATATTATAGTCAAATCCTAAAATGTATAGTTTTGTGCAACTAACTTAATTTCCTAAACTAAAATTCCAAATTTACTTTTGACTTTCTTTTAATAATAATAGTTCACTTTCTAAGTTGGAGTCTCTCTTTCTAAAGGATATTCGGGTTAATTTCTTATGCAATGATTGAAAAGAAAAAAACAAAGACCGAAATCAAAATAAAAAGAGAAGGTAAAAAGAAGAAAGAATGATACCTGTTAGAAGCAAGTTATAGCGAGTATAGAGGAAAGTTAGACGAGCGATTAGAATAAGCAAGTGGTGGCGGCGCATTTCCCCTCCACTATCCAAACATTCCAGCGTATATAACACTCTCCCGCGGCGCACGCTTCGGTTTCCACGTCTCTTTCAAGTCGTCATCGTTATTTATTTTTTTATTTTTTTAACAAACAATATTATTTACTTATAAAAATAAGAAGTTTTAATAAAAAAACTCATTTTAAAAAGCTTACGGTACTGTTTACTTTAACTAAAAATCATATTTTTACACTAAAAAATCAAACTTGGTACTATTCACTTTACCCTTTTTTTGTCTTTATCATTAAAACTCAAAGTTTTCAAATCATTTTCATTAGTTTTCCTTTAAAAATAAACTAACGTTTTGATTTTAACTCTAATTTAATTTAAAATAGTGTTATTTATACACACATTTTTATCTTAATTTTATTATTTGATCATATTGGATAAGGGAAAGAGTGAGTTTAACCTCACAATGAGCTAGCAATAATGTGGTTCAAATTCGTCTTTGGCGAGAATCTAACCTAAAATCTCTTACTTACAAATAAAAAGAAATATCACTAGAACGTAATACTAAGTGGCAAAAAAACTTGCTATGTTATTCATTAGCATCACCCTTTAATTAAGGACATAATTTTGCTCATCAGCCTCAAATAATAGTTATGCTCACCACCGTATTCATCATGATTTTTTATTTTGAAATCCGTGTAAGAAATAAATCTAAACTTAAAAATGTAAATTTATACAAAAATAATAAGCAGCGTCGTTACCACCATACAACGCACTCCTTAATTTAAACCCACTTCCATGCCTCTTCTTCACCTCTCTCAGTCTGTCCCCCTTCCAAATACACTAATTAATTATGATTATTTATTTATTTATTAATTATTTAATAGTTGGCTAACTGTCTCTGTCTGGTCTGCTTCTTCACCTGGGTTTAGAATTGAAACTT